TGTTTAGGAGTTTTAATTACAACTGACACATTAAGAGACCCTGACCCAGATCACTCAGTGTGGGGGATGCGTGCAAAGTTTTGCTCATTTCACACCACATATTGTGCTCAGATTTGTCTATATAAACAGGATGTTACAGAAGCAAATGTGGTAACGCTCCGTGAGCCCTTCCTGCTTAATCCATTTTAACATTTGCATGCTCTCAGTTGGTTTCCACAGTAATTACATTTCCATTAGCTTTAATTCATGACTTGATCTTCCATTTGCAACTTTCACTCTTCTGCCATGTGTGTGCATGCACATTCCCGCTCACGTTTCTTGCAATGTACAACAGAAAGCAAAACTCCAATGCCAAAGGTAGGAAAAGTGTATTTCTGCAGTGGGAAATTCCCAGAAGAGGCTGACAATGGGGGAAGGATTCACGTGCCTGAACTACACCATGCATTGCTTTGGACCCCATCTGCCACACGGTATCTGAAACATCCCCCAAAGGGCTGGAAGACGTGACAGAACACCTATGGGACCGTGGCCCCAGGGCTGGCTTCATGGAGCACACTGCACATGGTTGTCTTGGCAATTATTTCTGAGCAGATCTCCTGTTTGTCTGTTTTCCTGAAGGGGCTTCAGGGAGGTGGAGGTGAGCTCGCATTGACCTGGTGTGCATGGGAATGCTCCTTGCCCTGGGTGCTGGGGGCTGGAAGCTGCTCAGATCCATTTTTAATTGAGCTATGGGGTTTTTATATGAATTCCATAAAGCCTGGTAACCCAGTCTCTGAAAAAGTAGAGGAGCTGCTGTGAACCTGGGTTGGAGAAACTACAGTAGTGTTGCTTTAGAAACCAAAGCTGAACAGATGCAGCCAGGAAGATCCAAATCCAAGGAAGTTCTGTTTTAGGCTGAAAATATATGAAAACAAACAAGCAAACAACAACAAAAAGACAGATGTACTTGAAAAGAATTGGGCTTTCAGGTCTGAGGTTGGTGTGTTGTTGCAGAGACATAGAATCATCAAGGCTGGAGCCAAACATCATTACCATGTCCACTAAACCACGTCCCTCAGAAGGGATATAAGGGGACATGTTGTGTTTGAATGAAGCTCATGGTTTGCTTGGTTAGGGGTGGTCAGGTGTTGCACTGAGGCCCTTTCACCACTTCCCCCTAGAGGCAATGGATGCCAAAAGAATTCCTAAAGTTAATTACTTGAAAATAGTTTCTGGAGGATTTTTTCCCCCCTTCAATGAAACAGAAACAAAATTCAACAAGGTTGCTCCAAAAGTAACGCCTCCTATTTATTTCCATGGAACACGCTTCAAAGATTCACATTATTTTGCCACAGGGCAAAAATCTTTACAATTGCTATGGGGTAGGGGGGAAAATCTTGCTTCATTTTAATACTAATGATATACAAAAAGCAGCAAACCCTCACTTTCCAAGAATCTTTACTTGTTCCATGCTCATGGCTCTTCTCGTATCTCTTTGCCACTAAAAGCCATGCAAAAATGCCAAGCGTTTCATAAAGACAGAGATGAGATGTGCCTTCTAGATAACACAGCATATTTGTATCTTCAGGCAAAGAAGCATTCACAGATACGAAGCCCTGCTAATGAGAACAACCCCGTGCTTAGTGGGAATGTTAATCAATTAGACACGCAGAGCATTAACGATGTTTTCTTGCCTAATTAGATTAGCAAAACATGAGCACAGATGCTTTTTTCCCCTTGCAGCCATCCCAAGGAGCACCACCCATCTGGCCCCGGGATGCTCCATGGGGAGATGTTTCCCTGGGCACCCTTAGGGGTGGAGGAGGTTCTTCCTGCAGAGAGGACACCCCCAGCACCCAGAGGCTGGCTTCCATTAGTTAGGTAAATCTCAGGGAGGACGTCTTGCTCACTGAGCATTAGTAGGATCCCCAGATGGAAATACTGAGAACTCCAAGACAGTGATAATAAAAGGGCTATGAAAAAGAGAGGAGGCTTATCTCTAAGAGAGGAGCATTATTTGATTCAGAGTGAGACAAGAAGCAGATAAGAAGCCAGAAACACTCACAAGTCCAGAATAACAGTGACCTACAAAGCATGGGATTCCTGAGAAACACTGATAAACTGCCCTGAGACCTCATCAGCTTTCCTCCCTGTTATCAGATTCACACAAAGGCAGGTAGCACATATTCAGTGCCTGGCTCCCCAGAGGAGAGAAGAAATGAAGGAAATCTGCTGCACTGTTTTAGTGAGGGAGAAGTCTCAGAGCAGATCCAAGCACAGTGTTAAAAGGATTGCACAAAACCAAACGACCTCAATGGCTGCTGGTAGGGAATTGTGGATTATCATTAAATAAATAAATAAATAAATGTTTTAATATGCGGTTAAATAAAGATTAATCATCCATCATCAAACCCCAGGTTGGCTTTCTTTACTGAATGGCTGCAAGGGGAGCTGATGGTATCCAGAAACCCCTAATTGACCCCAACTGATGTAAAAAGGTGCAAGCTTAACTGCGACAGCGACCTTTTGCAAAGTGTCTGAGTGCTTTGGTGTCGTGCTCTGCTGTGCCAGGCAATGACAGCTATCAGCTGGCTATGCAAAGAGGCTGGCCTGCCTGCCTGCTGCTTTCAGCACCTTGTGCAACCACAGAGCACACACAGCCCATACTGCAGTTGCCGCAGACTCGTTGCTCAGTGAACTAAGTTAGTTGCCATTTGCTGAGAGTCCACAGGAGGTCAGGGATTCTATAGAGAGATGACAGCACAAATAAACTCTTTTCAGTACTTGCTTCAAGATCTGCATTGTTGACTTTTTCTCTCTCTTTTTTTTTTTTTTCCCCCAAGCAAACACAAATATTACCCTGAACTTCTCATACTCCTGAACAGATCCACCACATCCCCAGAGCACACTGAGCCATGTTGCAGAGCTCTCATTCAAATGCAGAGCTGGCCAACTCCAACTTCTCTTACATGGTCAGAACATGGGAACACTCCAAATTCCCATTGCTGCATCACGTCTGCTCTAGACAATGCAGTGATCTACATCAGCTGAGGATCCACTCAGTACTCACCAGCAGCAAAAAGTCACAGATTTGCTTCCATCCATAGGAATGGAGGCATGCAATGATGCAGGTAGGTTAGTTTTCCTGCTGAATGTGTTTTTCATAGCTGTTGCTTTTGTGGCTGGAAGATTTTATCCATAATGCCTCAAGTTCTGAGAGAGCTCATGGTATTTCATTCTTCTTCTGAGGCAGAAGGCTTCATCTGTGCTTTCACAGGTTTTCAAAACTTCACTCTCCTCAGAACAGATTTTGTACTCCTAAGCCAGGTGTACAGTTGAGTAAGAGACTGCTTTTTTTTTAATTTATTTTTTTGGCATTTATTCTGCTCCAAATAAAATTATTTTGGCTGAAGGAAATGTCGGCACATTTTGCCCCTTTGAATCCCCATGGACTTGGGATGTAGTGCAGGACCCCACATTGAGGCTTAAGATTTTTACAGTCAATTTCTGCCTGTCTTCATCATAAAGTGAGCTGAAAGGCTCGGACCAATAACGATCACATCTGGGGAAAGGAGAAAATCACAGTGGGGAAAATATCAAGAAAGAAACTGCCTTTTGATTGATGCTTCAGTGCTCTCCATCCCTGCCTGGGAAGGAAAGGCTTCGAATGCAAATTAATCAGCTTCCATAAAGATAATGCAGCTGCTCTGTTTGGACCCCCATGTGCTGCATCACTTCCTGATTACAAACGATATTTGTTTTCCCTGGATACACCTCTGATTTCCTCTTCTGGATGCCAAAAAGTTCAATTTGGACATTATTCAGATCTTTTAAAAATATATTTAAAATCTTGGTAGTGCCAACCTGGAATCCAGTGCACTGATCTGTTCCTTGGAGCAGCCAATGTTTGCTGCTACAGCACAGGGATGCGGGCAGCACCGGTGATGCTGAAGCCAATTCCACAGTGCTGCTGTCTCCATTGCCATCTAGCGGCACTCAGAGCTTGCTTTCTTATGCTGAAACAAACAAACCAAAAAAAAACCTGTCAATCAGGTGGGTTCTCCACCATCACCCCATTAAAAAGTGCATTCCAACTATTTGCTGTTCCCACTGGCAGAGCCCTGCGAGGTACCAGGAGGTACAGGATTTGTCTGGCCCCTCTGTGCACTCTGGGATGGGACAAACCAGGGCAGGAAGCACTTCAAATCCATCTCTGAACCACACATACAGCTTTATTTGCTGCTGTTTTAAAACCTCCAGGAAGTTTGCAAACTCTTTGCTGGAGAAGAAAGGCTCATTGACTACCCGGGTTGTTGCCTACAACAAATAGCGTGCGGCTCTTCCTGCTCAGAGCCCCTTGCGTGCTCCCATTTGTTTTACCTCCCTGTGACATTTCCTGAATACCAACTGCTGTTTGTTTGTATTCTTGAACAGTGTGAATCATCCCTTCGGCAAACGACAGCTGACACAGGACTTTGCCCTCATTTACGTAACGTGGGTGTGGGAGACGTCGTGTGGCTGTAAAGGGTCACTGCGGGTAGGGATGTGGCAGCAGAGAATTTCCCCTCTTGGTCCTTCCTCAGCAACCAATTAACTTCTTCTGCCTTCAAAAGCTATTATCCTCCCTAGAAGGAGGTGTACATCACAAGACACACACCCTCAGGGTCTCAGTCTCACCTGCTGTCCCACCAGTTGGATGGACCCTGTTAGGCTGATGGAAACACACACAAGCAACACTGAAATACCCATCACATTTCTAGGCCTTTTATAGCAATATAATACTTCATATGGGATCAGGAAACATACTCTCAAATATTTTGTTCTAAGTTACCTGTACACCTACATAACTCCTACTAGGAGTGCCCTGTTACTACTTCCTGAAATCCATCCCTCATCAGTGCCACAGCATCAGGATAACCCTCCTCCCCAACCCCTCCCTCCTCTCCCCCACTCCTACCCCCCCTCAATGTTTTATTTTGCTCTGAAAACAAGAGATTCAGCAGATAAGGCTCATTTAATAAGCACAAGGATTGCATTCTGATATCTGTATATATATTTATATATTAAAAAAAATTCTACCTTTCATAAATACATCATACATAAAACGTGTTCCCAAAATACATTCATGCGTTTTCCCCTTTTGAGATCCCTGCTTGTACCCAAAATATCTGTAAGTTGGGAAGGGCAAAGAGGGGAGAGAAACTCATGTCTGCAGGTGCCTCAAAAACCAGGCCAGGTTGTGAAGAAGCCTTTGGTGTCTGGGTGATGCTGAGGTCAATTCCTGCATCCACGTGTCCAATCCTGACCCTCTGGGACAGCAGGGCTCTCCTGCATTCTGTACTCATTGTGCCCTTCATCATCATGCTGCACCAGCTGACAGTGTTTTAAGCAGCCAAAGGAAAAAAAAAAATGCTCATTACATGTCTGCTTACGAAGGCATAAATATACAAAATATACAAAACAACCACAAAGCAATTGCAAGCAGCACCTGGCACAGAGCAGTGCCAGCAATGCAGCTCAGTAACACATGTCCTGTTCAACAGAAGTTTTAGTGCAGCACCTCCAGGGCTGCCCACAGCCCTCCCCATCCTCCACAGCTGTACCTGAACCTTGAGGCTGTGCAAATGCAGGCAGACGGAGCCTCTGACCCAATGGGGGCTGTAGGGGAAGCCAGGGAAACTCCTGCTGGATGCTGAAATTCCCCCCTTTACCCCTGGTCAGTATTGCAGGTGCACACTCAAAGCTATTTTGGGAACCCTGCCCTCTCTGCCTGAAGCACACACTGGGTATAGGTCAGCATCTCCTTTCCATAAAGCAGTCTGTCATTATGGTGAGCTCTCCCTTAAGCTAGCAGTCAAGAGAAAAATAAATCCATTCTGACTTTTGCATGTACCCAAAACCAACATTGTACAGGGCAACCGAAGAGAAGCATCACATAGATCCATATCTCACATTCTCCTGCATCCAACAAACAGCAAGAAACACAGTAAAGTTTTGCACACTACACTGCAAAAGGCATCACCTCTCAACAACACAACAAAAAAATGAAGTGTCACCACGATGTAAACCCTGCAGGAAACAAGGCAGCGAAGTACAGTGCTCAGCAGCTCCCAAGGATCTCTGCCTGTAGTGTACTGATGGATTTGTTGGACAAACCTCATCCAATCCTATCTCCCATTGCACAGGAATACCAGCTTGCATAACCAGATGCTCTGCTTCTAAACAAAAAGGTTGGAGGACACCAGCACGAACGGATGTGAAGCTGTGTGTTGCAGGAAGACAGTGCTGGCTGGGCTGTCTGCTTTGCATCCAGGAGTTTAAGGGCCAGTCATCTTTACAATGCAGATTGCAGGACAGCGGGTGTCTTTTCAGGCAAGGAAGTCTCATGGGAAGTTTTGCTACAGTTGGCTTTACAACTGAGATAGTAGGGACCGGATCCTCTAGTGGCTTCAACCCCACTCACTCCATTGGAGTTACTGGTGTCTGTTTCCACTCATGGAGATCATGGTCCTTGCTTGTCACAGACAGAGAATAAAACTACGGTAGCCCTTTCTTTAAATAAAATTAAATAACTGCATATTGCATCAGCACACAGCTTGGAATGTGCTTCTGCTGTTAAGAAAATAGCAAGCACACCAGTGATTAATTAAATTATTTCTCTTGAAGTAAAAAAAGTGATAATATTACTAATAATTAAAAACTTTGGGGCTGCATAATGTCTTTTTGTCGTATTTTCGAGACTGAGAAAGTCACTGGCATGTGCACAGCCTCATATATCCTCCTCAGCTGGGAGCGAAGGTTTGGTTTCCTGGAGGTCCCCATTGTTATTTTCTGATGTGTCTGAGCTGCCAGGGGCTGATTCTGTCGGCGGTGGTTTGTACAGCACACAGGCGATGGTGAAGAAGGTTGTCCCAAGCACCTGCAGCCACCAAGATCACAGAAATCATAGAATCACAGAATCATGGAATCATTAAGGTTAGAAAAGACCACTGAGATCATCAAATCCAACCATCAGCCCATCCCCACCGTGCCCACTAAGCCATGTCACTCAGTGCCACATCTGCCATGTCTGGAACACCTCCAGGGATGGTGACACCTCCACCTCCCTGGGCAGACTGTGCCAATGCTTGATTGCTCTGTCTGAGATGAAATCTTTCCTTATATCCCATTACTCCCTGTTCTCCCCTAAAATAGATGCCCAGTCCTCACTGGGTACAAACAAGAAAAGCAGCGCTTTAGTGTGCAAAGGATTTTGAAAGCCACTTTGTCACAATAACTGCTAAACACTGATCTCTACATCAAGTGCCTACTTGGGAGCAGTTGAAACGATGGCTTTCAGCTAATAAATAGGAATCACACAGCTATGCTCTCATATTTTCTAGCAGCGATCAGGAAACAGTTATTTACAGCGTGCCCACAATGGCATCATTCACTCACTAACACTACAGTTATACACTTTACTCAATTTTTTAGCAAAAATCATTCAGTAACTGTTTGGAGAAGATTTTTCTTATGGTGCAACAGAAGCTGTAAGCCTGGAATGTAGTGGTAATTTAAACGAACAGTGCCTGGAGCACCATTACCTGCTGAGAAGCAAGAGAAGCTTTTGCCTTCTCTGAGGATATTTCTTGTCTTAAGGTCTAATTTGGCTTTGGAAGGGGGCAGATGGGCATAGCACAGTTCTGTAAGACTGTCCCCCAGCATGAGATGCTGCCTCCTAAACACTGCTTGATCAGAGTGTGAAACTCCAACCTCACCTTGTAGACCAGCCCGGTGACCAGGGTGTAGCGGCTCATGGCTGAGTTCTGGTACACATAGCAGGAGCCTTGCTCACCACACTGGTCCTGCCAGAGCAGGCAGGATTTGTCGATCATCGACCCAAAGGCAATGGGGCCAGGGATACCTCCTGTGGGAAGACAGAGCCAATCCTCAGACTGGGCAGAACCTGTGCATCAGCTTTGCAAGACACGAGGTGCTAGCAGAAATGCACCAGGCACTGTGTCTACTATGATGCAGCAAACTCATCCCGCAGACATTCAGAGCTGTGCCCAAAGCATGCTGAATTTCAAGAACTGAGAGTCCAGGCAGTTGACTTTTGACCCTGACCTACTACTTGCACAAGTACCAAGGAGCCTCTGCTCCTTTTTTCTTAAAATAATGACACGCAGCCAGGACATTCTCCTTTGCCCCATCTGTGCTGCGTTATGGAATCCCTCATTCATTTTGCAAACTCTATGCAAATAGAATTAAGTTTATTTTCTGAAGGATAGCAAACAAGGGAAAACATCTTCCATTCAACACCTCATGTCCTACCCCATCCACTTCCAATCCAACCTCTTTTGAACACGGAACAGCGTGGGGCACACTCTTCAAAGCCAACAGACCACACGGATGTGCTGTGCCACTCTGTACTGTACCTAGCGTTCGGACCACGATCCACTGGATCCCAAGTGCAAATGACTTTTGTCTGTCGGAGACACACCTGGGGAAGAAGAGGGCAGTTCAGCAGCGCCACCAGGCTGCATGGCACCAACTTTCCCATCATGCCTTCCCCGGGGTTTGTGCCAATGGGGTAAAATGGAGGTGGGATAACTGAGGCTTCTTGCAGAGGATCCTGGGCTTACCGTAGCGTTGCAGTCAGGGCAGGAATGCTGCTCAGGAAGGTGAAGAGGATCACCACGAACATGAAGAAGAGCAGCAGAGTCCTTTTTGCACAAGGGGAAGTGCATTTCCCTGCTTCTGCCTCACCAGGGCCAAGCAAGAGAGTTTTCTCAATGCAGCTACATTCACGGTAGACCTGGGAAAGAAAGGCTGGTGAGCAGATTGCTGGGGAGAGCGTGGTGATAGTCAGGACTGGGTTTTAAAAAGAAATGAATTTGGAGAGGGCAGAAAGCAGCTGTTTTTGCTCCTGGTGTGGATTGAAAAAGAAATCAGGCTGTGTTCTTGACACACCTACTTCAAATCAGATTATTAAATAAAGAAATCAACTTTGCCAGGCAGCACTTCAACACTGAATGTCATCATTACCTATCTTGAGCCTTTGCCTGTGTCTATAAGCTGTATGCTGAAAGTATGTGGAGGTGCATCATGTGCACTGAACACCAAAAACAAGCCCCATAAGCACTGGCATAGGAATTAGGTGCTCACCAAACTTCTCTCCTTCCCTGGGTGAAATCCCATAGATCTCAGTGCAGTCTGACCCAGAGAGGGGCAAAATCAAAGTTGGGCACATTGAGGGAAGTGAAGCAGGGTGACCTCCAGAACCTTTTAACTTCCTTCCAGGTGAGCACATCCTCTATCTGCTCCGTGCTGCCTCTGCCTTTTACACTGACTTGCAACAAAGCCCAAACCTGAGTATGCTTTTGCAGAGCCAGCCAAAACATTCCAAAGACAGTGTGCTGCTGCCTTATCAATACACGGTGCTGTGGGACATACCTTCTTGCCATTCCGGAGGTTTTCAGACACTTTTCTGCACCCAGCATGACAAGGAGAGTAATACATAACATCATCACTACCGCAGACAGGGCTGTAGGTCTCCTGCAGGCAGCCGCACTCTGCGTTGCACACTGCTGTCAGGTTCAGCTGGCCACCAGGCAAAGTGCTAAAGGAAACATGGGAACAGTCAGTGGGGAGACCCAGAACGGTTCTCCAGGATGAAAAAGGGTAAAGAACGAGAAGGATAAGAGGGGAAACAGAAGATGCAAAAGAGCTCTGGAGAATGTAACACCAGGCCTGGGAAGGGTTTCATCTCACCTACTTGTAGCCATGAAACAGGAACTGTGCCCTGTAGCTACAAAGGATGCTTTAGTGACCAGATCAAAAGGAGATATCTACTTTTGAACAGGAGATCCCACATTATTTGTGCAGAGGGAGATCTTGTGAAGACAACAGAAGAGTAGAGACTAAGATGCTGCTGCTGCTGACCCTCTTGCTGGCTTACACTCCCAGTTGAATGCAAAAGTTTGGATATATGTACTTTGGGGATATGGTTCTCACTCTCAGTATCTGCCTCTAACACTGACTGGACATTATCTCCCATCTCTAACCCTAAGCAATGGCCAACATCAATACCATGTGTTTGGCACTGTATTCCAACTAGAGCCACACAGTACAAGACATGGTTATTACCTTCCGTTGTACATCTGAGTTACTCCTGCCATTGGCATGTTGGGGCAGTGAATGAAAAAAATGAAAATAGCTAGCAGACTTGACACTGTGCAAAGTAAACACAATTTGATGATTCCTGAGCAGCGGAGTTTAAATTTATTCACAAGGAATCCTCCCAGGAATGTGCCTCCGCCTCCAGCCGGCACAACCAGATAGCCTGAAAAAGGGAGATAAAAAAGCACAAGCAGATTTAGAAATATCAGTGAACAGTTTCTCATTTATCTCATTTATGTCATTTATCTCATTATTCTCATTTATACATGCAGTGTGTCTGCATGAGAATAACCCTTTGGTTGTTGAGTTGCTTTTTGGTGGGAGTTTAGGAAAGTTTGCTACAAGAAGTGCACCTCCATAATTCCTAGGGTAACGTGGCTTGAACCTGGTAAGGCAAATTCTTTTCCCTCTAGATCTTAAAAGAGACAGTTTAAGAAGCACATCGTGAATACTGATACTTGTTTGGAACCCATGGAGATTAAAATTTCTTGGTCTGGAATGCAAGAGTTAATTGAAGATCTTCCCATTTTCTGATAAAGTATTTTTGTTAGAGGCGGTTGTTGACGTTGCCTGGTTATGTCCAAGAAGGAACTGAATACAATTTTTCACCTTTCTCTGGGTAGTGACAGATGGCTACAGAAGTGATGCATTTCTTAGTGATGTCAGTAGATAGAGCTCTGAAAACACACTTGGTACAGACATGCTGATAGGAAATGATCCTCACTGCCTAATAGTGGAAGACGATTACCTTTCTGTAAATGAATGGCAAAGTGTGTTTGTCTCATTCTGCGTGAAAACTGAAAAACAGAGCAAAACCAGGTTTCCTTACCAAAAAGGGTGGCAGCTTCAGAGGCACTTAAACTAAACTGAGACTCCAAGAACTTGGGTCCAAACGTAGACATCCCAGCAATGAGAGTGGCTTCCGTCGCTCCCGCTAAGCAAAGGAAGATGAAGGTGGGATTCTTCAGGAGCAGCAATACTGATCTGGGAAGAACAAATACACTGGAATTGAAGTGCTGCAGCACATTTTGATTACAGATGTGTTACCTCCACACGTAAGACAGGGAAGCATCACACCATACTGCATCCCATGGAAAGAAGAATCCCAATAGGAGCTTTTAAAAGAGCAGTGACCATCTCCACTTCAACTTACTGAATTCTACCAGCCAAGGAAGGATGCAGAGGATACCCTGACTTCTCCCCATTCGACTGCATGGTGAGAATCAAGTTTGCCCTTGAACTCTGCCTTATTATAGAACACCTCTTGTGTGTCTACTGCTGTTGCTACTACAAGGCAGCCAGACTCTGTGTGGTCTTAACTGCCCTCAGGCATAAGCTTACCTTCGCAAGCTTTTATAGCCCCACCAACAGATGGATGCAAGGGAATCAGAGCAATGTCAGCCAAATACCTAAAACTGGAGGGAACAATATGGGATTTTTCTCTGTGGACTTCATGAAGGCACCAGATGGGTCTACATAGGTGTGGATGAGCAAATAAAAGCACTGTGTGTAATGTGATTTGCACTAAGGATGCTCACATGGCTACAACTTCTACTTGGGTCTTTTCAGTGGTAATTTTCCAACATTTGGGTCCAGGATGCAAAGCGTGTAATAAGTTCCACTCCTAAATGGGATAATTGTGGAGGCACTCTGTTTGACACCAAATCTCAATCACTTCAAGGTTGTAGCAGTCCCTAATGGCAGTCATCCTGGGACTCCTTTGGGAAACATTTACGAGCTAGGAACAAAGTTCTGTTATATACCTATGTACACGTGTTTCTCAAGTGCACACGTGTCCTCATGAGAATAACAATCACTTACAAACATGTTTTTTTTGCAGCTCGTGGGAAATACCAGGCAAGTCTTTCTGTATGGAGGAAGCACTTCTAGAACACCTTATATCTCACAGGAAAACAGAAAGCAATCTTTCTCCCACAATCTAAGCATAGTTTTATGTGAAGATTAACATCTAAGTTGAAACAATACATTTTGTTTTTGACCAACTGGGATTTAGTGGAGAGCCAGAGATATTCATGAAAAATTGCCATATGTCATTTATATGCAGAAAGAAGATCCAGCAATAATTCCATCTCTGAGACACAGAAACACCCTCAGGCACATGGAATGGCCTCAATTATTTCCCACTATCTCGGATATTGGACTAAGAGAGCTGCTTTGGAGGGAGCATTTTGTAACAAGCTTGAAATTCTGCCACATAACTTGCCCAAAGTTTAGCCCAGACCAGTACAGCAAATTGCCTTGTTTTGGGGTATGGCACAGCCTCATCGTACTGCAGCAGCAGCAACTGGCACCCAGGGGATGCTCACTGAACTGAAAGGCACCATCAATTAACAGGTAGTGCTTGGGAAGAAATGTGAAATGAGAGAAAATCTACTGCAGAACCACCAAGTGTGTGCAGTGCTCAGCATCAGATACGCTAGGAACTTAGGGATTTACCTGGTTTAACCCAAATGAAGTGGACAATTCCATACTGTCAATAGAACAAAGAGGCTGAAAGACATATATATGACACATTCTTACACCTTGATTTCAGAGGGCTCTATAATAACCATTATCTAGCCATTGGGCTAGATAATTTACTAAATTTACTAAATTTACTTAATTTACTTAACTATTTAACAGGAATGGTCTTTTCAACTGTGCTTCTTTCAGAAGAAAAAAGCCTAATCTCTTAGCTAGAAAACACTCCTTGTAGGCGTTGTGACTGCTGCAGAAAACATACAATGCCTTCACCATTTACAGTTCAAGAGAAAAGAGGAGAGTGGTTCCCTGGCAAAAGCATTACTTTGTACCTATTGGCCAAAGGTTGCAGGTAGGAAATTTAAGAGGAACAACTTTCAGCATGATGAATGACCTGCGTCATTTCTTGTTTGCAGACAGAAGAGGTATTTAGGAAATAATGTATATAAAGACCTCAACAAAGTCAACACATCTTTTTATCGTTAGCAGCAGGATTTTAGCCACACCCAGAAACCACATAATTTTCAAGAAGTCTCGGCTGCCCTTGGATTTCACAGCCAACGTGATTTCACACTACTTCCAGAAGTACCCTACCATGCATAAAAGCCTCATCCTACAAATATTTACTCACACAGACATGTGGGCACCCTTTCCTCTTGTAATGGTCCTGTTAAGTGAATGGGGAACATATCTGAGGAGCAGTGCAAGCTGCCAGACAGTAACACCACATAGCCACGTGCTAGCAGTCAATAGTGACAGATGAGTATTTGTGCAACTTACATCATGTGAACAGGGATTTTTCCAGCACACAGCAATGACATCTGCTGTTACCACCACCACCAAGTGGATCGAGCTTCTATGTCCCAGAGGAATGAAAAACATCCTCTCCTTACCATACTGATGCTGTAGTAAGGCCACAACACATGCCAAAGCCCCATCCTGCCTAGTAGCCCAAGGGAGACAAGTGAAATACTGGCTGTAGCTTGCTGTCCTGACAACTGGCAAACCAACGAGTGATCTTCAAGCTTCACCTTACTTGTGAGGAGCAAGTCTTCTATCCTGCCTTGGTGTGGATCTGTGTGTCTTCTCTTTGAACTCCTCTGCACGGACATCAGGGGATGTTCCATGCAGGCAATCATAAGGAAGCAGAAGGAAAGTGCTCTTTTATCATGCCTTTTCAGCCCAAAAACGAAGACAGAGGGCAGAAGCCTAAGCTGTCTGGGCTTTGTTCCTGCACGCTCCTGCTTTTAGGGAGCACCGTGAATACAGCAATGCATTAAGCTCTCTTAGAAAAAAACTGATGGTGCAGAATAGTATCCTATTTCATCTCTGTTTCTTCTTATCTTTGTGAGATTCTTATTGTCTGTACTCTGAGAAAATCTGTAGCAGCCAATCCGTCACCTGAACAAAAGCAACAGTGTCCTTTGGCCTTGCTCTGTGCACAGGGCCACACGTACCCAAGGGCTGCACACAGATGTGGTCTCCTCTTTAATGGAAGTTTCCAGAACAGCAAGCCTTTAAGGCACTTCCCTTTCATTAATCAAAACCAGGGAACACAAATGTCTGCTGGGTTTTTGCATTCAAAAGAGATTTCTGAGGTTTAGAAACAAGAAAAAAGCACGTTAAGAGCTAGACTGATCTGAATGGTGTGAGATGAGCCAAGCTGCCTTCAGTGCTCATTCTTAGGGCATGAGGCGTGAAGGAAGACAGGCCCAGGACACCTCTAAGCACTGCTAGGACAGTCCCCATTGGGAATAGTAGGAGCTTTGTTCAAGGTAAGCAAGCAAAACATAAAACCCTGAATTCATCCCTCTCTGCTGCCCAGTTTGTGTTGGTTTCAGTCATAACCTTATCATCATTTAAATGCAGGTTTTGAATTTAATTTCCGTGTGGAGAATAAGTCATGACCTTGGAAAATGGCACCAAGTCAAGTATGCCATTTAATAACAGTATTGAAATCTATTCCATGTAATATTCTTCATGAAACTGCCTTAACCCCTGGTAAACTTCCCATGAGGTCTCCAGGATTTTTAACTACCCCTTACTGTGTGAGTACCTGCATTACTCAACACGGATGGAGTGCTGCTCACAGCTCCTGCACTGAGCACCTGTTTCAGCCCTCCTTTGCCTGCACAAAGTTCTGAAATAACACAGCATGGGCTCTGGCAACGTGTCAGCCATCACATGCAGATGCAAACTCCTCCCTAAGAACAGTCCTGGGAGAAATGCAAAAACGAAAAACCCCTTTATTGATGGCAAGCTCGCCATCCAAAATGAAGCAATGCCCAGATCCCTCTGCAACACCCATAGCTCTAGGCTCAGTTGAAGCCAAGCCAAGTAAACAAAGAAGCAACTCCATTTAAATAAAACTCAAAACAGCAACAACAGAAAGCCATAAATGATTTCAAAGATCCAAGACTTGATTTCATTTTGGCCTCTTACTTGTTTTTACCCAAAGTTCCAGGATTCCTTTAAACCATTTCCTACCAAACATGTGTGAGTGTTCTTGCCCACACGACATGCCCTGGGATTTCACTTGTTGCTTTGGAAAAGAGCTAAGAAGTTGTAACACATAAATGGAATCAGAAGACACAAAGGCAAAACAAAGAAACAAAAAAGCCTGTAAGAGGCAGTGAAGGAGGTGACTGTCTGTACCAAAATGAGCCAGCTCTCTGTGCATCACCCTCTGGGGCAGCTTTCTCACCGAGGTAGGTCTTTAACTGTTTTCCCAAAGTCTGGATCTGATGCTTTTTTGTGGCTCCCATCCTTCAGCTGATGAGCCTCCGACACCCTCATAACAATATACCTCTGCGACCCTGCAAACGAGAGGCAAATGGGAACAAGGAATAGGTGAGACATGAGACATCGGTGTTACCAAAGGGGTGGATTTACAGCAGGGAAGCAGGCAGCTGGAGAGCCGAGGGGTGAAATTAATGTATTAATTACAATTTGAAAACTAGAAGCTCATCCTCCATGTCCACCCCTGTCTCCCCAGCTACAGGAGAGTGCAGGCACAGCCCCCCCCTGCAGACTGCCTACCTGGGAGGCGCTGGGGGTAGCCCAGGATGGGGATGGAGATGAGGAGTGAGGCTGCTCCAGCCCCCAGGAAGCCGATCCACCATGCTCCCACCCACAGCGTGTTCTCTGGGGAGATGTCAGTCCTGCAAGAGACAAACCCAAAAGGACACAAGGGAGAGAGGCGGTGGTTCGAAACGGAGGGGGAAAGCTGGGCACTGCCCTCACTAAAGCTGGCTGAGGTTGGGGGAATGATGGGGACATCACTGAAGGAAATTGCCTCTCCTGGAGAGTTCTGCCATGTCCACCATCTGTCCTGCCTGACAGATGCACAGCACTTAGTGAGCTTGAGAAATTACATCATTTATTTCTCTTTTCATCTCTCGCTTGCATGTTTCACCTCATCCCATTTCATTTGTGCTTTGGGGGTTGCAGTGAGACTTGTTCCATCCCAGAGTCACCCTTTCAGCAAGACAGCTGGTGGAAATAACCCATCCCTTCCCCAAAAACCCCCTCAACCATTGTAGCCCATTCATCTGCCAAAGAGCCTATAGGCTAAGAGGTGATAAAATAAATTAGAAGCAATAAACAGCAGAGAGAGACAGACCAGGCATTGTGGCCAGATAGCCAGGAGGAAAAGCTGCACTGCTGGCAGCCTGGCCTGATGGGGGAACTCATTCAAAAAATTCACCTGCTGCTCCCAGCCTCGTTACAGCAGGCAGTGCAGCATAAGGAAGGATTTAGGCTGACAGGTTCATGAACAATTCTCTCCCAGTGACAGCATTACTGCAATCAACCATTCCAGCCTCAGCCCCCCTCCCCACAGAAATGCTGCTGAACACAGCGGGCATTTTCCCCCTGGCAAATGAGTTATTTTCCTGGATTTTTTTTTTTTTTTACCCCAAAGGAAACATACAGCATAAAGGAAAAGGAACAAGATTATTTTTTAGCCACTTACTCTCTGCCAATTTCAGTATAAATATTTAGAAACATTCCTCCTACCAGATAACCCGCTGCAGGGCCAAGGATTGCAGCAGTGTAGAAAACAGCTGAAAGGGAAAACAAATGGTGTTAGAGAACCTGCAGAACTGCAGTGGATGTGCTGCTGCTGGCGAGTGCTGACACCCACAGTACAACCAGCAGTGCTGAGGAATGAACAGCCTGGAGAAGAGAAGGCTCTGTGAAGACCTCATAGCGACCTTTCAGTATTTAAAGAGGGGCAGTAAGAAAGGACAGACTCTTCAGTCGGGTCTGTTGTGGAACAGGTTGCCCAGACGAGTGGTGGTTGCTCAGTCCCTGGAGACATTTAATGTCAGGCTGGAGCAGGTTCTGAGCACCCTGCTGTAGATGTCCCTGGTCATTGCAGAAGGGTTGGACCAGACGGCCTTTAAAGGTCCCTTTCAACTCAAATGATTCTACACATCTATGAACGGAGCATCCTTTCTCAGTGAAGCTGCACTGTATGTTGCAGCGGCAGCATCTAAACAAACATTCTTCCCGTGCTCTGGCACTGAAGGGGCAATGCCTTGCATGGACATGATGGATGGCCAGAGAAGGTAATGCCATGCACAAAGCAGAGATTGTCCTCAGCTGATGGCTGTGCCAGGAACACTAGCACCTCCTGCTCTGCAGGACTGCAGGAGCGAAAATGCCCAGCTGCACCCGCAGTGCCTGCCTGCCAATAAATGGAAGGGAGAAAAAATAATGAAAACCTCCCAAACAGCTGCTTCTCTCTACTTATCATCGTGTCTGTCATCAAAAACAAAAGACTTGGAGCACCTCTTATGAAAACGCCCAGGGCTGCCAAGGCAGATGGAGCAGACCTCCCCCCAGCCCCTTTGGCAGCCACTCACCAATGTACACAGGGGAGTAGTTAGTCTTGACGTTTTCATCTAAATAGGTGACGCCAAGCGTGTAGAGCGGCGTGGCTCCCATCCCATGCAGGAACTGCCCCAGCATGAAGACAAACCTGTAGCTGGAGAGGCCGGAGGCAGCCACAGAGCATGGCAGGCTCTGGTTGGCGGCACAGACGCCCACCTCAGCCGAGGAGCGCACCTCATAGCGGCCTGTGGTGAAGTGGGGCAAAGCGAAGAGCAGGGAGCCCAGGCCCATCACCAACACGCCCCAGCCCAGCCAACGTGGCTTGTGGCCGTTCCCCCCAAAATAGCTGACGAAGGTGAGGCAGAGGCAGGCGGCGATGTCGTAGGAGCTGGCAATCAGCCCGCTCTGGTAGCTGCGCAGGTCGAAGCGACGCTCAATGGAGGTGATGACCGTGTTGATGAAACCGTTCACCGTCATGCCTTGCAGGAAGGAAGCCACGCAGAGGAAGAACAAAACGCCCTTGGAGGTGTTGAAGAGCTGCAAGCAGCCAGGGGTGAACCCTCCCCAACCGCACGCCAGCTCCTCCTGCTCGGCTGAGATGTATTTAATGCCTTTGGCCTCGCAGAGGGGCAGCCCGCAGGACTCGGCGCCGCTGGGAGTGCCATTGCTCAGTGGCGTGCCGCTTGCCGAATCGAAGGCTGAGCTGTCCTCACCCACAGGGGATGGGCTGGGGAAGACGAGAGGCTGGGAGAAGTGGAAGCCATTCTCCCCCGTTAAGTGATGGGGCTTTGCCATGAACGGCACAGCAGAGCGGGTCCAGTGTTGGCTGTGGCTGGGGCTGCTCTGCAGGGCGGTCAGCGTGTGCCTATTGCGGGGCTGCGAGTTTTGGCACACACATTAGATGGCAGAAGGCTGAGCCAGGATCATTGCAATCTGTGAACAGAGAAGTTTTACATATACTTTTACTATACTATAACCTAGAATTGTATTTCCTTTTGCAGAATGCTTTTTCTCAGTAAGTACCAGCATTTCGCTGTGCAGTTTGGCTGCATTTCCACCACAGTGTGCCAGTACCTCAGGTATTGGGGTTCCATTAATAGTACAGAAAATTATATGTATAGAATCATAGAATCATGAAGGTTGGAGAAGACCTCCAGATCACCAAGTCCAACCCCAGTCCACCCCACCATCCCACTAACATCTCCCTCAGTGCCACATCTCCATGGTCCCTGAATGCTTCCAGGGACAGCGACCCACCCCCACCTCCCTGGGCAGCCTACATCAGTGCATCACCACACTTTGGAGAATAAATGTTTCCTAAATCCATTTTGAACCTCCCCTAGAGCAACTTACAGCCATCACCTCTTATCTTAAAAGATGAACATTAAAAAGCTACACTAAAGACCAGCTCCCTGCCTGCTGAAGTCTTTCATCACTTCTCCCTAAAAGTGATCCCAGTTTGATGCTGGACCTTTCCTTTCTTAGGCACAGCCTCTTTCCCTTCCCTTTTTTCCTGCAGAGAAATTTGTGAAAAGCTACAAGTTTCCCACTGTTAAAAGTCCCTTGGTTCCTCTTTCACACTATACTAATAACAGTTTATAATTATTCCGAGAAGTTTCCACAGTTGGATTGATTTTATCCCAGGCCCTGAGATCTGTTTACAACTATTCAGTAAAATCCTTTCTATAACTAATTAGACTACGTGCTGCTGCAGAGCAAGCTGGAGGGCACAGGCAGCTGATGCTAACCTGATTACCAATGCAGACTATCTTCTATCAAAAATTCCCTCTGCTGTCCCAGCATCCCAGCACCTCAACATTGCAGAAAAACAGAAAAGAAAATTTTTACAAAAAGGGCATTTTTAGTTAAATGCATTGGCTGAACTATAAATGATGTAAACAAGAAACTTCTCCTTTGAGTGCAGATCTTAAATACGCAACAAACACTGGACAAAAACTGCTTTATTACAGAATATTTTCAAAGTATTCAGCATTTCCCAACATTTGCTGCCAATATTTATTTAAGAGCCTCCTATAGAAATGTTCCTCCTTGGATTTATCTAAGGGAATGGGAGAAAAGAGAAGGTTGTTGTCCCAATAAAATGAGCCACGTTCAGATTGCTGTAACCTGGAAATGTTGCAGAAATATTCCTGTAAACAGTAGAATTGTTTGACCTCTACCATTGGTTCTTAGAGGCACCAGGGCAGGTAGGCTTGAAGAATTTGATGCTCAGAAGATTATCAAGGTTCTGCTTCCACCCCAGAAGGCCAGAGGATACACCCCATATAAACGCATGTCAGTAGTGCTACAACAGCACGGGTTTAGCAGATGAGATGCACTCATCAGTGCATGAGGCCTTTCATTTGCAAATAACTGTAATGTTCACAATCCATTCTGGGGACCAGAGGGCACCGACTACGTCTGTGTCTAGGTTTCTGTAGGAATTTGATGATAGCACAGAGGCAGTGTGAATTTCACAGCCAAACAGCCACTGCCACACCCAGAGCTGTGTCTGTGGGTGCTGTCAGCACAGAAACCTGCAGGCTACTGCTAAAGCAGGGAAATGCAGAAACTATCTGCAGGCTTCAAAGTTTAGCTGCAGGGACAGACTTTTGTAATGTGTTGGCATAAAAGGATAATAGTTTGGATGTATGACCATAATTTTTCACTTTTTTGTCTCTCCAATGTCCCTGTGGCTCTTGTGGCTCTAAATCTATTTTTTCTCATCTTTGCAATATTGCAAACAATAAATAAGAGTGCTTTAGTACTCTATTAAACTCAGCAAGGATGACTGGCTGTTGGATCAGGTGTTAGGGAGCAGAATGGGTCACGTACCAAAGTGTAAATCAACAGACTGCAGATGAAGTCCACACACTGCACACAGTTGCCATTACATTTGACTACATCCATGAAGAAGGCTGCTTAGCTGGCAACTGAATTTGCTAGCGCCAACTTCAGCAGGTAAATAAGCCCATCTCATATTGCTAACTGTACGATGGAGAGCCAAGAGTTCCCAAAGGGGCACCCAGGGGGAAGTGCTCGTACTGCCTCTATCAGCAGCAGGATGCCTCCATCAGTACATATTTCATGAGCCAGGAAGAGATTAGAGATTAGCATTAAACTTTTCCCATCTTTAAAGTAGGAGGAGGAGGAGACTGGCCACCAGCTCCAAGTGACCGCAGCATCCTCCCTCCCGACTTTTGTTACCCTTAATCCTATTGAGTTATCAGTAAACACAGTGTATCCCTCCCAGGAGCAGCAAATGCCTCCCCCATGCCCAGCAGCCTCACACTCTGCTCCAATCTCTGTCCTGGCCCCTCGCCCTGCAGCAGCACAGAAGGGTTGCATTCAGTGCTCCAGGCAGGCAGCCCAGTGCTGCACGCTGTGCCTACCTCACTACCTGCTATCTCACCAAGTGTTTCCAAACTGGAACTGACACATTCCCTGGGAAGATGAGCTTCCACGTGAGCCATGTGCCACTTTAGGACAAAATATAATCCTTAAGGGAAAAAAAAAAATGCACAAACACAATAAAATTTTACTTCATGTACTTCCTAATCGTTGTTATTCATTCACTTACTGCTTCTCATTCATCTCTGTTTTTAACGACTCAGCTAGTGAGTTCTTGCTTGCTTTGAACCAGCCCCAATACTATTATGTCAAAGCTATGGATGTCCTGATTTTGCTGCAAGACTAGGACTCGTTATTGTTATTATTTTTGAAGACCTACAGTTGATTCCAGGCTGTCAACAGTACCAAATCAACACTACAGCGGTAGCAAGGTAATGAAAGCATGTATCTTATAATGGAATTTGTAACGATTACCTCTCCCCAATATTTAGCATTAAATCAATAGCAAAATGGCAAAACTTAGAAGCTTTTCATCAGGTGATCACTTAACAAGTCACAGGACCCATTAAAAACATGTTTTGTCTCTACTGAGGCCTGTGGTTAATGTCACTAATTAACTCCTAACTGGCATGCGAAATAATCCTATTTGCTGAAGCAAACCTTTCCTTTCACTCTATGATTTTTGAATTTCATGAGGTATTACTGTGGCAAACATCATCTACTCATCATTTCTGCTTTCCACAGCCAAGCACAGGGCAGATTTAATAATTTCTTCAATCCTATGGCAGCACACTTGCTAAGAGAAAACAAGTGATCTGAAAACGTGTTGCAAACCAGTGGGGAGCAACTGCCCTCCTCCCTGACCTACAGGAGAGCCTGGCCTGGCTGTATGGCCAACCCGCCTTTGGGAAAGCCCACATCCACACATGAGGCTCTGCTATCACTCCACACTGGGATAAATTCATCAAGGTTTGGACGCTTAATTTCTCTTAGTAACAAACAGGGAATTTGTCTTGCACTTGGCTTGGAGGATTATCGGTATTACTCTGCTGCAGCTGATACACAGCATATGGATCAAGTGTAATCCACTCACCGGTTTAGCAGAGGAAAGCCTCGCAGAAGTGAGACAAATCCACACTGTGGTCCTGAGAACACGGCTGTCCTCGAGGGCTGCTTCAGCTGAGAGGGAGATAAAAGAAGGCACGCGGTGACCAGGCTGTTCTCTGGATGTGCAACACTGCAAATTGCTGTCCTGGCAGCTGGGGAACTTTACTCAGGGGATGTGAACACTTCCTATTACAGCACAATATTACAAAGCCTCCCTTCGGCTCAGCAATACGGGGGAGGCTGCTGTTGCCAGGAGCAGCCTTTCATCAGCAGTTCCAATAGGAACAGCACCATTCTGCACATACACATTTCAGGAGTGACAAACACACCCAAAGAGCTCACGGATACCTCATGCTGTGCTCCCCACCAGTGGCAGTGCTGCAGGTGCACCAGAGGTGTGCTGTCGAGTGATCAGTCCCACCAGGGTCTGAAACACAGAACCCAGCAGCAGAAGCTGGCTTTAGATTATCACCGGAACAAGGACACATTTATAATTAAATAACGCCCAACTAGCAAAGCTTAGCACTCACAAAATCCTTTGTATGTTTTCCAACCACTCTTCCACTCGCTGGCAAATTAATGCAATAATATGCAAGAAATCAGGAAGGTGGCTTGGATAATTTTCAATTAGCTGCTTGAAAATGCTTTGAAGATAAATCTAGCCAGATTTTCTGAGCTTACTTATTTGTTCCAGCTTATCTGTACAAATGCAATTGGCTGCAGCTGCCTCAGCCCATCTTCAAAAACTTGCCGTGCCAATACACAGAGCAGATTTAACCAGGCAACAATATTCTGCTGCAGCAAAGATTAGCCAGACAAAAGGTTCCTTTATGCCATAATGCCTAACTCCCTCTCTCTAATGTCACTCTTGCTTTAATGTCTTTTTCCTTCCCCTAAGTTTGATCAATGATGAGAAAGTTTCCATGCCAGCACCGCGGATGCAGCCCCAGTATTTTCCCATGATCTAGATCAACGCACATTATTTTCCAGCATTTGGGTTCTTAAGGATATTTAAAGCAGCTCAATATTCAGGACAATGTTTCTGCATGAACCATGAGTCAGCTTTTCTCCATGACTGTCACTTAGTTCCTATACATATCCCTTCTTGCTTCCAAAAAATGATGATTCAGGCAAATCCTGGATGAGATGTGCAAACTGAATGAGCCAAATTATGAAAACGAAACACCATTCTTTGCTGTGTCTAAAGATAAGAGCAATTATATTAAAAAAAGCAACATCTTATGCTATGCAATACGAGGATGCTGAGTGTAGGATAAATATCATTATGTCGACACTACTACCACTTACAGGAACATTTTTTAAAATCTTTTTAATCTTAGATGAGTGCAAAGGTAAAAATGAAAAAGAGGAAATGATACCATAAAACTTTGGGGAAGCTCTGCCACAAACAGGTGGATTTGGCATCAGTAAGATGAGTTGTAGATGGTGTATTAACATTATATATCAGTAGTGCATCCGCTTCATAAATAGAGGGCAACAGTCATTGCTGGAGTAGCAAAGCCTCTGCATGGTTTTCCACATGCTTGTCTGTTGCATCGCTGCTGGAACAGGCTTTTCATTGAGGTATCACCATCTGGCTTTTTTTCCCCTGAACAATCAATTCATGCTCTACATCAAGCTGCTCTCCCCTTGCAGAGTATCAGGAATTGGAAATTTGGATTTACTGTAACGCAGCACGAGCAGAAATGCTGTTGTTCTTGCAGCCATAACTACCCATACCCTAGCTCAGACCCCTCTTACTACTGTCACCTGTGCAAAAAAGCCCACCCAAAGCAATCAGGAGACACATGTGCATTTCCACACTTTTCTTTACTGCTGCAGCATGGGAAGAAAACTACACGAAACCCCAGGCATTATGAATTCCAGCACAGAGGAAGAAGATCTGCCATGGGACAAAGCCTCTACACCACTTTTACATGCTGTGGGCTGTGAGGTAGGATGTCAACATTCAGATTAACTCATGTTTTGCTTCTTCTTGGGATGGGACTGCTTTCCAGCAGCTCTTTTCTGCAGCAGGTGGGCTTTCTAGGGCCAACCATGCACCGTGAGCCATTTGCTCTACCAACAGAGCACAGGCTGCAGCTCACAGCCTTCTAAGACACATTCTGCAGCTCTATGCCATGTTGGTGGATTAGATTCCCTCCCAATTCCTGTCCTAACCCAGATAATACAGGGAATAAAGAGAGCACATTAGAAGAGATGAACACATCACAGGAAAAAAAAAACAAACACATCACAACACACAGAAAAAACAAAACCCACAAGGTGCATCCCCCAACATTCACTATCCTCAGAGAGCACGAGTCCCTGAGACAGGCTGAGAGAAGGGTGGAAAGACAGCCAATACAGGAAGGATTCAGCTGAAGGAAGAGTATTACCCACACAAGCTCACTCTTTTTTCCAGATCAGCAAGTAATAGCTTCCCCAAACATCCTCCAGAGCACAAGCTCACTGGTGCACACCGCTTAGCCTGGATCTTGTTTAACATTCACTGATGCTCTCTAATCCTCCGAGGTATTAGTCTTGAGATTCTTGCCAAGCACAGGAACAGCACAGCACTCCCAGACAGCACTTAAATGAACTTGCTGCTTGAAATGGGCCATTTGGCACTCTACCATAGAACTCCAGCTGTTCTTTTTTTTTGTTAACCTCAGATGAGCACCTAGGAAGGCACTACAGCATGCAAAGCACACAGTTAAATAACCCTGATTTCTCTGACTCAGATGACTCCCTGCGATGTCATTCTGCATTAAGAATGGGATTTCTCTCTTAATCACGTGTTTAAAAGTTAAATATCTAATTGGAATTGGACATTCCTATTGTCTCTCCTGCCCACTGTGAAAAGATCATCAGGTCCAGCTTGTTTATGGCTCTCTAGCCATGTCTCCACCATCACTACTTTTCGTGTTTCTAAATCACCCATTAGTGCAGATATGATCTGGAGCAGGAATGGGCATATAATCATATTTCTGTTGGATTAGCCAAGCATATTATTTTGAATATACTCTGGTCTCCTGTTAGCTACAACAACGGAAACTGTATTTGATCTAGCACAAAGCCAGATGGTACAAAATGACCCCCTTGGGCACAAAGCTGATGTGACACAAGGGCGTTCAGACCAGACCAGTGCCCAGGATCATGTAGCTGTAGGACTTCTGACTCAGGCGTGCTTCCTCGAAGTCTCCTGGCACCAAGTACTCACTATCTGCCCTCCAATGATGAGCAAAACAAAACTGTCGTATTTCATCCTCTTAAAATAAACACCACGTCAGATTGGGGTTAGTTTGCATCTGATCAAGCAACACATCATGATTTGGAGATTTCTTTAAGAAAAACATGTTCTCATTGTGCAACCAAGAGGAAATGATGATCCCTGTCAAAGGAATCCTCCTTCTCTGACTCAAAATCCCAAACCAGTTCTGTAACCACAAACTACAGCAGTGATGAGATTTGGGCAGGAACACAGACCCAAAGAGAATGGATCAGACATTAAGGGCAGCACACGAGCAGTGTGCAAAACTGCTGATCATTGCAAATGGGGACAGGCAGAAGCTACGTGATGAATATGATGGCCTGAGAATTGCAGGAGGCTTTGAGAAGCCAGATTGAAGTCATCACTCCCTTAGAAACCTCCAAAAGGTTGAGTCCTCACCAATGTCTTTGCTGCAATCCCCTCTCATGGCTGCAGCCATGACTTAATGCAGAAGGCACAGAATGTCTCAGGGATGGCCACAAATCACAGCAGGGTGCACACAGGCAGTTGTGTTATGGCCTGATGCTTCCATGTGGCTGTGCGCAAGGAATAAAAATCACTGCTGACCAGAGGACATGAGGTTACTTTGGGAGATGCTGGTGGAAAAATGCTTGAAGCCATCAGCTCAGATCAGCACCAGCACTGATGATGTGGTGAGGTGGGTCTGTAGGACAGTGCACAGGTGTGTGTGTGCTCTGCCAGCACAAACACTGCTGGCTTTGCAAAGCTCTTACAGGATGGCACTCCTCTCCTCTCACAAGGCTCAATCAGGCCAGCAATTCATTCCCACTGCCAGGGAACAAATTGCTGCCAAATGGTATTTCTTCCTGAGATAAAGGAATAAACAGGCATATAATGTTCCCATTGTCAACCCAAAACATCTGCTGGAATTCAGAGGGGTTTGCTGTCCCTGCGTGCTGTGGGCATGGCCTCTGCTTTGTACCCTCTGTGCTCTCATGGATGAGAAGCACAGCCTCAGAGAGCAGCTGTGAGGGGACAGATTTACTCAGAAAACTGAAAACTGCCTTCAAGAAATTCCGGCTCCCATGCAGCAGCACAGCATGGTTCTTGTTTCTGACTTAGGAACTTTTTGGTTTGCCTTGCTGAGGTCCTGCCTGCTTCTCACAGCCACTGCAGTCCTGTGTGGCATGAACACAGCCTGGTTACTTACTCTGCACTCGTTTTTAATTCAATTTCTTCAGCATCTTATAGTAGTCCCTTCAAGGTTTTCTGCCAAATAAAAGGAACACACACTAAGGGGCTCACGAGCTCTATGGGGCAATGCTGTAACCAAGCCTCACATCTGGCCTGAAGGGTCAGAATCCTCCTCAGCACTGACTCCACTCCAGCAATACAAAGCGTAAAGCTGCTTTGAAAGCACTGACAGGCAATCCCTTTTTGGGGGAATTCTTATGCTAACATGAAGCCCTGTGGCATCTGCCTTGGCCTCCATTATACCAAAGCAGAGCAGGAGCAGGTCAGTCCCACAAGGAGCCAGGCTTCTGTTTCCTGGGCAGCTTCTGAGGTGAGAGCAAGCTTGAATTAGAAGTTCAAATCTGTTTTATTTGGAGGATAGAAGGTCAAAAATATTGATGCAGTTTCATAGAAGAGGATGCAAGGGAACAGAAAATCAAGCAGTGCCCATGCCCTTCAGATGCTGTGGGGAACTGTTTATTTCTGTATGATGGGTTAGGATCGCTTAGCAGAACTCTGTCATCTAGATGTATTTTTTTTTTCTGTCTCTTAATGCCATTTAGAAAATTAACCCCTATCTCACTCGAGTTCACAAATGTGAAAGCGTATCTATAAAAAAGCCAAAAAGTACTTTTTCTTGGATTATTTTCAGCCAGAGCACTGCAAAGTCCAAGTATCTTTTGAGAAATAAAAGTGTTTGGCCTCGCTTTCTCCACATGAAAAAGACTCCTAAACCCCTTCATACCACCGAGCAGCGGTTAAAAAAACTTGTCAGCATTTCATTTTCATGCTTGGAAGGCCCAGCCCAAGATCTGAGAATTCAAGTGGCTGAAGTCTGTTGACATCACACACCAATATATTATATATATAAAAAGAAGAGGAATCAAATTTAGTTTTAGTGTAACTACACATAGAATTCATGTGAGTCAGAAAGGACCTTTAAAGGTCATCTTGTCCAGCTCCCCAGCACCACCACAATGGGAGATCAGCCTAACATCTTTGTTGCATCAAGAATGCCAAGAATTTCCACCTTGCTGAACGCCCAACAGGGATAACGAGAATAAAGCAGAGATTTCCCACCACTGACATACTCCCATTGCTGGTAAACCTGGAATGATATTATTTCTGGTACCAGCAATATGGTAGTTGCCCAGATTTAGCAGTACTTCTGCCAGAAGAGAGACTTAAAGTTAGAATAACATCATTCTGCCAATATTAAATACTACACTTACTCATCTCAAGCTTTTGTCAGTACAAACAAAAAGTCTGATGTAACATCCACTGCTTAGTGGCCCTCTCTGAGCACTCATCTACGATCAGTCATCCTGACTTCTGGGATGGGATTCATCAAACAGACGAGTGCTCCCTCGGAGCACTTTCCATGGGAAGTGTTTGCAGAATCTCTTTGCTCTTGGATCGCCCAGTTTAGCATCACCGGGATGTTGCTCAAGGCCAAGATGACACAGAACTAATTATGTCTTGGGGAGGTCTAGCACTGAATCCATTCTGAAAAGGGAAAAGAGAGTAGCAGCTCCAGTAGCAGCTCCTAGGGCAGCTGAGGGAGCTGCTGACATGCTGTGCTTGTGTGTCAAGTATGGGGCAGGAAGAGATGTGGTCAGAGCTGCTGTTGTCCCATACTGCTCATCGGCACAGAGATCAGCCCAGAAGTGGGCCCAGATAACACAGTTTTTGAGTCCAGGGAAAGCAGGACTGGTTTCATATCAGGCACTGAAATAAAGACTGGAATATCAATGCACTTCAGAGCATTACCCACCCTGTATGTGGGTAACAGCCCCTGCACCCTGCTGTAACACCAGTGTCCTGTTATCAAGAACAGAACCCGAAGGGGGGAAGGGAACCTTTCCCTTGAAACCATGCCCAGCACCTCACTATCCTGAAAGGCCAGCAGCAGGCTATCAGCTCTGCTAAGTGCTACCATGCACCTTACGAAGCATTTCCACTGCTCTTCATTGCATTAATGGGACTGTGCAAGACTTAAACATCCCAGGGTCTGAGTAATCAATGCATGAGCAGCAGCTCAGAGAGCAGAACGGAAGAAACCACAAACCCAAATGGCAAAACAAAGTATTTGGCACCTTCACCCATGGGTTGTGACCAAGCCCTCAGGGAAAGGCAGGTTAGCAGGGCTTGGTGCACTGCGAAGTAAAGGGGAGCAGAACAAGGGCTCAGCAGGGAAAGAACAGAATGATCAGTACAAGGCAGAGCCATGAGTCATTTTAGGCTGCTGCAGGGTGTAAAGACCCAAACCAGGAGCAGGACCACAGCATGCTTCAGGCACACAAAAGAGACTAAGGCAGCCTCGAGGGGTTGCAATTGGAAATCATGAGGGGGAGAGCGGCTGGATGCTGATCTTCCTAAAACAGGGGTTATTTCTTTTGTTAATGGCTGATCCTATCTTCCCTTTTGTCTGTGAATCTCTAATCCGTATATAGATTTCCAGTAAGCACTTGCTCAGGTAGCTCCTAAGTTCCCAGAACCACGAATAACTACAGCGTGCATCGATGGCTGTTTCCAGTGTGTTTTGCCATCCCAGGCCAGGATCTCCACGGGGTAACTCAGGGCAGGATCCACGGAGCATTGTCCTGCACAGCTCCTGGCACACCTGGGCACACCTGGGCACACCTGGGCACACCCACACCGCTCAGTGCCAAGCTCGGGGCAGGTGTTTGCGGTCAGCCCCAAGGCAGAGGGCTGTGAGCAGAGCTTCACATCATTTGTGGTAGCCTGCAGGCTGGACCTCTTTGCATAAAAATAGCTTCGCTTTTTTTTTTTTTTTTTTTCTTTTTCTTTTCGTTATTTGACTAACCCCTTCTCCCCACTCGCCCTGTTTCATCCTATTTCTCACGTTTACAACAGCTCAAGGCATATGTCTCTAAAGATCCCCTTTGTTTTAGTTCTCCATCAGATGCGGTTTCAATGTGTGCTTTTACAACCAAGCGACTCCATACAGGAACCCAGAAAAGGGGGGTATGGAGAAATGGAGGTGGCAAACTGGGATAACTTCACGTTTGTAGTGTGTTGCTCTGTAAAATCAGACTATGGAATGGTTATAAAAGGCACATGCAACAAATTCATGTGATGAATGTCCAGATGAGTCTTCTGAGCGCTTAGAGCTGAAAAGCACGTTTTTATTACAACTACACTCCAGATTCATATCAACTGAGCAAATAGGTTAGCAAAAGTAATATAGGTCAAACAATGAGAGCACTCTGATTTCAGCCCAGCGTGCTGCCTGTGCCTTTCTTCTCTAACTTAGTTACTATTCCCTTGAAATAAGGATGCTGGTATTGCTCACATCCCTTTCACTTGCTGTAAGCATCGCTGTGCCATGCCTCCTCACCAGCTCTTCCTACTTTCCACTCCTTCTCTGCACCTTTCTAATTTCCCGTAGAAATATGGTAACGGGAGGGGTGGGGGAGGGTGGAGAAAAAGAAGAAATGATTCAGTCCTGACGAATTTCAGTTACACGGTGGTAAAAAATACTGTTCTGAAAGCATCGCGCTGAAAGCCCAAATGGAAAGTCTCGATTCGCGTGTGGCTATTTTTTTTTTTTCCCCCTTGAAGCGAGACACGCGTTTCCGCACACGATGACCACACAACACCCGCATGGCATCATCCGCTCCTCCCCGGACCCCGGGCGAAGAACCCCATCCTCGCCTCTCCATCCCCATCCCCGCTTCTCCATCCCCATTCCCGCTCTCCCATCCCCATCTCCGCTCCCCATCCCCATCGCGGGGCTTTTCTCACGCTGCGGCTCCTCCCGCACACATCCCCGTCGCCTCGGGGCTCCCCATGCGGTGCAGAGCTGTGGGAAAGGGATCTCATCGGGGGTCCCGCCGCTCCCAAAGCCCACACTGTGCCCCGTTTGGCTGTGCAACCAGAACCCTCCCGGTATTACGGAGCAGCCAACAGCTCGCGGTACCCACCCCGTGCTCCTCCATCCTTCCTACAGTCCTCCATCCCTCCCGTGTCCCTGCGATTACGATCCCGATCCCGGTTCCCCCCGGCCGGTACCTGCCGTCACTGCCGCCGCTGCCCTCTCGTCGCCGCCCCGCGCTCCGCTGCCCGCATCGAGGGCGCGGGCATTGAGTCCTGATGGACGTGAGCTTCCTCCAATCGGAGGCGGAGTTTGGAGACTGTGCGGCCAATGGTGGGAGGGGACGCGGAGGGCAAAGTGAAAGTGGGAGAGAGGGTCGGGGGGAGAGGAGAGAGATGGTTGGGGGCAGTGGGGGGAGAGGGAGAAGGAGATGGGGGGGGGAGAAGGGGAAAGGAGGAAGGATAGGAAGGAAAGAGGGAGCAAAACAGACTGTCGACGAAAGGAAGATGGAAAAGGAAGGAAACGGATGGAAGAGAGACCCTGGCTAGGGAGAGGGCAGGTGCAGAGAGAGCAGGTACTTCATAGGAAAAATGAACTGTTGTCCTGTTGATGGAGGGCACTGCAGCCTTCCTGCCTCCATAGTGTGCTGGGGGAGCTGTGGGGAATGGCCAAGGGAGACCTCAGGGGAAGCTGTGCTGCCAGGGGATGCAGCTATAATGGCAGAGCAGAGCAGAGCAGAACACTAACCCTGTCCTCCTGCTGCAGCAACAAACCTACCTCGTGTAAAAGGAGGAAAAAATGGAATGGGAACTGATGCATGAGTATTGTTTTGGGACACAAACACAGCCATTGCAGTGTTATCTTTATTGGTGCAGTATAGTGCCAAATGTTGTTACTTGGGCAGGTGTGGTAGGGTTAATGATTGCAGGGGAAGCTCTGCTCCAGAGCCCAATCTGCTGAGAGAGCCGAAGCTGTGCTGAGACACTGGGCAAACCCATTTTCCTGGGCCTGTTCCTGCTCTGCTGTCACAGAGCTCGATGTTACAGGCACAGAGCAGACCCACACGGGAGCTTCCCATGCACTCCAGGACACAGATCCTCAGGGCAGGAAGGATCTCAGCAATCACAGCAGATACACATGGGAGGCAGCTCCTGTGCAGCTTTCACAGCCATCTCTGTGTTCATTATCAGGGTCATTCCATATCACCTGGGAATTCGGCCTGTTTCTTCATGTTAAAGATAAATAATTCAGGCACTGTGTGTTTAGCTCTCCAAAGCACAATCAGTTCTCCATCATCCAGAGTGCACAGGATGGGCTGGGTAATGGAAATTTTCATCTGGTGCTGCACAAAGCAAGGAGAGCAAGGGAAAGGCAAGGCCAGAAGGTAAGGGCTGCCTCCCATCACCCTCTGAGGCAGCAGCCCTGCATGGTGCTGGAAGCTGCTGCCTTTACACCTTTCTCTCACTGTGCTCAGTGGATTGCAGGTGCTGGGGCTTCTGGCAGATTTTGCTTTCACTGAGTGGGCTACATTGGGAGCTGCTGAATAAGCTTTTAATGCAACATTAAAGGTAGGAGAACTGCTGCTTGTGATATGCTGTGGTCAGGAAAAACAGGAAGTGTTTGCTCCATGGCCACACTCTGATGGTGGTTTATTAAACGTGAATAGTTTCATAAGCTGTGCACTGAAATTAGAACTGCTTTGGCTGGTGCTGTACATCACTGATGAACCTGGCCCTGCTGCAAACCGTTAATATTTTAATTAAACAGGATGGAAAGGACAGCAGATGTGCGAAGGTGAAGTGGTGCGTCAAAAGCACCAGAACTGGAGAACCTCCCCCCCCTCCCCCCAGCTTCCTGCTCTGCCCCATCACCAAGCTGTGCTTGGCTGGTGTTGTGTCCCTGTTCTTCCGCCTCTGCTGGGGCTGTCCTCAAAGGTGCAGAGGAAATACTTGGTTCAATTCCAGGCTGTGTCTTTCATACAGCAGCTCCATACGTTTTACCTTTCAGGTGATTGAGATGTAAAGCTATGGATTTGCATGAGCTAATTGTGGCTTTGATAATGTGTCTGAGGAACAAGGTCTGGCAAGGAAGGGCAGTGGTAACCTTAAAGAAATCTGTGTCCTACAGAAATCTTTGGGAGATGCCCGGCAGTGGCATAGCAAGCCAATCTGCCAGCCTGCTGATCCTCTCACCTCCAGGTGGTAATTGCATTTGTGTTATCATTAACTAACACCGTCGTCATTGTATCCTTACTACTATATGGCTTACTATTCCTTGAGTTTGGGAAGCTCTGATCATTTTAGTTCCTTGAAAACCCTGACTTTATGGGTCACGCTAACACCTGCAGATATCCATGCAATGACAGTGTGATCTGCCTGCTCACTCAGCATTTCACACCAGGATGGATTTATGCTGCCTCGTACCTCTGCGGGAGGTGTTGAGACACATACTCCTGGGCTGCTCTCCTTGATCAATCTACTTAAATCATTAAAGCTCTGGGCTTAATGAATGCGAATGCAGTGCTGCAGGAGGAAATTTGGTTCATCAGGGGCACTCTGAGCTGGAATTGCTCCATTGACTGAAACTGTTGGGAGATGTTTCTTCAGGTTCATTCCCGTGAGTGAGGTGGGAGTTGGGATGATCACGACAATCTTTGGCCTAAATCTGTGCAGACATAAAACTTATTAATGCCGATCAAATGAAACCATCCTTATATTTCAGAGACCCACAAAATTGACTGGGGAAGATGGAGAATTGTGGAACATTCATCAGGGAAAGTCCGGTTCTGGGAACAGGTTCATTTTTAATAAAGTGAAGTGTGCATGCATTTACAAGATTGAGTTAACGCAGCCATGAACAGTTTATTTAAAGATGTACTGCCTAACACAGATTTCTGGTGCCTTAATGATCACTTCCTAATATTGCTGTTATAAATACTTCCATGATTCACATCTCCTGTTGCAGAACAGGCAGTGAATCTCCAGGAAGGAAGTACAGAACTGGATTTTTTTTTTTTTTTTTCCTGCAAGATACTCCTTGGAGTTCTATTATAACTCTAATTTGTGCCAGAAAGTCATTCACAGGAAACGTATAAAAAATAGATGATAAGGATGGCTTTATTTTTCAAGTGCTGGCAGTGGAAAATGCACCTCTGAAAACCTCCCCTGGGATGTTTCCTGGTCTTTGTGTTGCTGTACTTCTGTGAGACGCTGCTTGTGTCACACCAGAGAGCAGCAGCTTCCATCAGTCTCCATCCCGTGGGGCTTTGCCAGCTGTGTTCATCCTTGTGAGAGTAAGGGATCCTCTAAATGAAAGGATCAGGTAGGAGGCTGGAAGCAACCTCTTCCCAGCTCCTTATTAATAGCGGCAACCGTTGCCAGAGGGCATTGTGGAGCCTGAAAGCACAACCGTGTTCAAAGAGGGATTAGACAAATTCCTGAATGCCATTTGCCTGGGCGGCTGTTAAACCTGATAATCTCAATGCAAACCTCCCGTTGGGGATGGCCCTGAGCCACGGTTTGCCAGGGGCAGGAGAACACCGAGGATGGAGTGAGCGCCGTGCTGCATGTCGTGCCCTCACCGCGTTGTGCCACCGCCTCTGCTGGCCTTGCCAGCCCTGCAGTTCTGGTTGCAGCTCTGCACTGCCAGGAAATGGCAGAGCCCTGCTGCTGAGCACACACGTAGTGTGATGTGTTAACAGCAAGAGAGGGAAAGCTGTGACTTCTCCTTCAGCAGTTTCTTGATCTCTGGAGGAGATGAGCTCCCTCTTGCCAGGTCGCTTCCATCAGGTGATGCGCAGGAACTGCTGCCTTGTCCACTTAGAATGGAAAGAAAGAGAAGTGATTTCTTGCAATCCTATTGAGTTTTATTTGAATGAAAGGTGATATTCATTACTGAAGAAAGAATCATGGGAAAATCCAAGCTGCATCACTGAAAGAAAAAAATCCCTGAATCTCACTGCAGAAGCTATCCCATCGATACCTGACAATTAACCACACTGAGCACTGAGAATTCAGAAGGAATTGTGGCTCTGAGATGACAAGGACAGCGTTGTTCCAACTGTAGCCCAGAGCAGCAGTGACCCTGTGCACACGTGTTTTGGTCAGGGAGGAGATGGTATGGAGAAAGGAAGGAGAAAACAAGGAGAAAACAAGGAGAAGGAAAGGAAGATGGGAGGAGAAAGGAAGGAGAAAGGAAAGATGCCCTGTTGGGGTCATCAGTAGCTCACAGCTCTCCCTTCTTGGTGCCATAGGTGTAGCTCCTGAGCTGGTCGGGGATGTCCTACAGAAATGTAAGTATTAATTAAGAGCAAGAATTACAATCCAGATGACCACATGGGTCAGTCTGAGCTCCAAGCTTTGTAAGCATAACTAACCCGCTATGTTTTTATTTAGGGGGGATACAAATCCTGGTTTCTGCAGGTGTGCTGAGGCTCGCTGCACCTTACCTGCTCCAGATGCTGGATCTGGAGCTCTGGTCCAAATGAGGATCCCACTGCAGCAGCATGGAGCTGCAGGAATGTCCCAGCAAGGCAAGGGTCCATCTGGTCCTGCTTTTCCATGGCTCCATTCATGGGGGGAAAAATTATGGAGAATAATTAAGGAAAAACATATAAAATGATAGCCAATATTTCATGGTTGCATGACAGCTCAGATTTCACTGCTGTGTTGCAGAGTACTGCAGTGCAAACAGGAACGCAGAAAAGTCAACTGCACCGCACGCTTTGCTTCCTACCCACCTGCTGGGCTTTTGGCACTGTGTCTGATGGGACAGCATGAATACCACCATGCCAAGGAAGAGCCCATTGAGCCCCCACAGGTTAGGAGTGGGGCTGCAGCATCTCGCATCCCATCCCAGCCTTTGTGAGGTTGGGGCTCTGGTTGGAAGTGGTGTGCTGTGGTCAGCACAGTGTGTACAGCCAGGAAAGGTCTTCTCATCAGAGCAACGCCCTTCCTCTTTGTTCATTTATTTTTAAAATGAGATTGCCCCACTGAACCACCCATTGACCCTGCTTCTCTCCAGGTGGGAGACCAGAGAAAGGTTATTTTCAGTCACTAAAGGTTTTGCATTTAAAAAAAAAAATAAAGTCTGATGAAAAAAGCATTCTACCTCAGGCGTGAACTTTTAATGACTTCATTTCATAATCTTTTCAAAGAAAGATTCCTGTTGAACTAACCGAGACTTTCAGCTCTTTTTGTTGCTGGCTTAAAGAGTTGGCACTGAATGCTGCTCAGTGCTATTTGCTCTGCTCAATTCCCACTGCAGGTTTTGCCAAACG